AAAAATTAGCTGGGCATGGTGGTGTGCACCTGTAATCCTAGCTACTTGGGAGGCTGAGGCAGGAGAATCGCTTGAACCAGGGAGGGAGAGGTTGCAGTGAGCCGAGATCGTATAACTGCACCCCAGCCTGGGCGACAGAGTAAGATTCTGTCTCAAAACAAAACAAACAAAAGAAACCTCTTAACTGAAGCATGAAGGTGAAAATCTTGGCGAACTTCCTTATTAAGAGTGGAGAAATTCAAGCTGTCCTTAAGACAGGCTTACCTTTACCTGTTGGTGGAGACTGGTTGTCTTTGTAGTGTGACCCGCTTTACCAAAAAGGCTAAAGGAAATAAAGCCATCTGCAGCTGGGGTTCCCTCCACCTTTGTTAGTCAGGGAGCCTGCCGCCCCTGCTCCACGGTGATTCCGTGGCCCTCTTCAGCCCTCTGCCCTGAGGGCCTTCTCTCAATTATCTATTTTATATTTTCCGGGTCTCCAGCCTCCTAGAGGCCAAGGGGCAGCTAGAATTTTAACTGTTTCTTAACCTAGGATTCTTCCAATAAATGGCAAGGGCTGGCATTCTGAGAGTGAGACACTTAAAATGTGAACAGTACTGAGTTAATGAACTTAAGTTCTAACTGCAACGTAAGTGACTTGCATATAGCCTCCTTTGCAAACTCTTCTGATACAGGGTGGGCACCCGGGAGTAAAGCCGAGAGAGTCAGGGCTCTGAGCAGATCTCAGATGAGGTCCTGGACCCCGAGGTGGAGGTGCAGAGGGGAGGGAGGTGGGTGTCGGGGACAATCTCTTTCCTTTTGCAGACTTGCCTTATAGGTCTGGGGCCAGCGGAGCTCTGCTTCCCACCTGCTTCCTCCCAGCTTTCCTCAGGATTAACTTAACTTTGCAGATTAAGAGGCTACAAATCCGTTCATATTCCTCTAGGAGGCTTCTCACTCCTCATTTCTTTCTGCCTTCACACTTTCCCTTTGCAGGAGCTGGCGTATCTCCCAGTTCGTCTGTTGCAGACACCCCTAGGCCCCTTTACTCATACTTCTGTTTGTATTTTCAGATGTATTTGCAATTTCTTGCCTGGAGTCTATAATGTAAAACTAGGCAGGGCTCCCAGGCACTGAAGGACACAGCCAAGGCCTTCATTTCACTTAGCAATAAGTTATGAGCTTTGTAAGATCTTTAAGATGGAGGTTTAGCCATGAATTGGAGTGGGTTTTCTGAGAATTTCACAACCTAGTTAGGTTTTCTCTGTAAACAAGGGCCGCCCTTCTTCTTCCTTCACAGCACTTTTTATCTGGCCACTCAGGAAACACCAGTTATTTGTTTGTTTGTTTGTTTATTTATTTATTTTTGAGGCAAGGTCTTGCTCTGTTGCCCAGGCTAAAGTACAGGGCTATATAGGCCTGATCATAGCTCATTGCAGCCTCGAACTCGTGAACTCAGTCTTCCCGCCTCAGTTGCCCTAGTAGCTGAGACTACAGGCACACGACTCCACACCCAGCTAAGTTTTTAAAAATTATTTTTTGTGTGGCCGGGCGCGGTGGCTCATGCCTGTAATCCTAGCACTTTGGGAGGCCAAGGTGGGCAGATCACGAGGTCCGGAGATCGAGACCATCCTGGCTAACACAGTGAAACCCTGTCTCTACTAAAAATACAAAAACTTAGCTGAGCGTGGTGGTGGGCACCTGTAGTGCCAGCTACTTGGGGAGGCTGAGGCAGGAGAATGGCGTGAACCCGGGAGGCGGAGCTTGCAATGAGCTGAGATTGCGCCACTGCACTCCAGCCTGGGAGACAGAGTGACTCCATCTGAAAATAAAATAAAAAATCTTTTTTGTGGTGACAAATAAGGTCTTGTTACTATGTTGTTCAGGCTGGTCTCAAACTCCTGGCCCCAAATGATCCTCCCACCTTGGCATCCCAAAGCATTGGGATTATAGGCATGAGCCACTGCACCTGGCCAGGAAACACCAATTAATTCTCATATTAGCCCAAACAAAACATGATTTGGAAAGTGAACCAGCTCCAGAAATATGAGTTATCTGTTCCCAAACTTCCTGCCTTTCTCCTCCTCTTCTTGCCTTCTCTGCACTGTTAAAATTATCCCAGCCACTCTCCTTTTTCATTAACTGAATACTTAAGGAATATCTCAAATACAATAATTAGGATTTTAAGAATCTTAAGATTCAAAGACCTCCTCCAGCTTCTCCAACTGCATTTACACATTGACTCTAAGTTGTTTCTTGATTCTGGTGGGAAACAGCCTCCGTCCAGTGTGTGTGTCCCCACCCGTGGGGACGATGTTCGCTAATGCTGGCTGTCACATGTGAGCCCTTGGTCACAGAATGTCACTTGGATCTATTTCAGAGTTCCCTAAAAAGAAGAAGCACTCGGGAAATGTACAAGGAGAAGAAAACCTTTAACCAGGTAAGCAGAGGTTTTCATTCTAATGTTACATCTCCTGTAAGTGAAGTCACCTCATTTTGAATTTTTTTCAGTGTTAGTTTTGCCTTTAAAACATTCAAGGAAACATTACCTGTCCAAACACGTGGACTCATTCCTAACCTCCACAGTGTGAACATTTTCTTTGCAAACCCACAGATCCTCCCTCTTGTTTCTCCCCGACGCTGACAAGCTGGTGATTTCTTCAGGAAAAAGAACTGGCTTTGTGTGAAACAGAATTAAGTGTAGTTTGGGGGCCTGAGGTACTTATAAATGGTAAAAAGTGTTTTTACCTTCAAAGTCATCCACACAGTGAAATAAAGCAGCCACTGTGGAGTTGAGTCATTCATAAGACACTGTTTTGAATGTTGTTGTTGTTGTTGTTTTTTAATGTGCGAGCTGAACAATATCTTAAATGGTCCTCATTGAAGGTAAAGTATTCTCAGCCCTTTCTAGATGCACAGTATGCATTCTTCAAAACTTTCTTAGCTTTTCTGTAAAGCTGTTTTACTGGATTCTGTTTTTAAATTGCTGCTAGCATTAGGTGGTGGAGAGAACAAAGGTGTTATTGGGATATCAGCTCACTGCACTCTGAGAGCAAGTGGTAATTAGAGAGACACAATGAGTCGGGGTAACTAAGAGCTCAGCAACCTCCACCGACCTCCTGCCGCCCTGTCCCTGTGAACTCCCCTCTTAAGGATCCCCTGGGTTTCTCCATTCTCCAAACTCACTAATCCCCAGGGCATCATTCAAGGAGGGGCAGGCCCCTGCAGCAGCAGAACGCGGAAGCTCAACTGTTCGCTTCCACCCGCCCCAGCCTCCCAGCCTCACTTTGGAATCCATTAATAATAGGGAAATTAAAGTCTGCCACCCACTGCTGGGTACTTACACTCTCCTGGGCTGAGAGTGTTTTCAATCGACTGGCTCTTGCCCAGGGAAGATCTTTTCCTTAAAAGGGGAAATTCTGCCCCATTGTGAAATGAACAGCATTCGCCCCGTGGGTAAAACGGGTCAAGAACAGGAGCTGCTGCTCCTCGGGCGCGTGTCCGAAACCCTGGTACCTGGGATGCGTTGAACGCCCGCCCAGCCGGCGGGATGATTGAGGAAGGAGTTTCTGTTCAGCAGAATGGTGGAATGGAGCGCGCTGGGAACTGCAGGCCCGCAACCAAAACCCAAAGGAAGCTGGCGCCCCGGCGCAAGGTAGGCACGCGGGCAGTCACCCACTCAGGGTGTTGGCTGGACGGCTGACTTGCAAGCCAAAGAATATATACAGGGAGCAATATATTTCTGTGGCTTGACAAGGCCTTTCCCGCTGGTGGTGATGGTGGTGGGCCCCTGGGTGTCTCCCCTCCTGGCCATGCCTGCCCTCTGCCTGCAACAGGAATTGTGTGTCAAATGGAAAGTTGGACTTGACCTGCTTTCATACCACATTCCTGGGGTTATCCAATGATCTCTTGAAACCAGAAATGATATCCTTCAGTTTAGACTCGGCCTTGCTCCCCGCCCCCACCGCCCCGCGAGAGTCTTGGCAGAGTTTTAAGAAGTCTATGGTTACAACATAAGATGGGCATCCAGCCTCACACTGCCTGAGCTGAAGCTGTGATTCCCCATCTTATGAGGAGTGGCTTCCCCTACTCAGAACAGGCCGAGCTCAGCTTCCCTCAGGCCGCCCCTCTCCTGCACACAACACCCCGCAGGTGCAGCGGGCCCTGCCCTAGCTGCCTCGACCTCACCGAGGACGTGTGACTTCATTTAATACACACTCTCCCATGGCTTCCAGGACAGTCTTTCTCTCAACACGGCTTTAGTCTTGGTGGCAGGCCTCATAGTGCATGCATGGTTGTCAAGTCGAAATGACAGCATGCTGTCATACAGCTTTTTTCTTTAAGGAACGAGAAGACGTTTTGGACATTTTATCAATCCTCAGGTAATCTACACATTGACACTCGTTAGAGTATGTCATAGGATCTTGCTGCTTTAACTGACCTGGGTTTAGGTTCAAGGAGACGGAAGAGAATTGTTCTATGATAGATTTGTAGTGGATGGTGGACAGAGGGGAATGGTGTGAGGTTGAAGGTTTCCGGAAATCAAGGTGATTTGAGGGCTCTATGGGGACATTCTGTCTGCATGAGGGGTGCAGATAAGCATGTATAACCTCCGGCGTGTTTCAGGACCCTTCTCAGAGATGATCCTCCTTCCCCAATGTTTCAGTTCAACTTGTTGGGGAAGACCCCAAGGAGCTGGTCGTAGCTATTTCCCTGAGCCTTTCTTGTCATATCATTTTTCCCCTTACACGAGGTTTGTGGTGAGCAAGGAGGGACCAGGCAGAGTGGGATTGCCTTAGTCCCTGGTCCACGCGCTCGTTTGAGCCAAAAGCTTCCCATACCATGCAGGCAACAGTGCCCCGCACCTGCCCCTCCTGGCCTGGCTCCACCACATCAAGGCCTCGCCAGCTGCAAGTTTCTGTGGACGCTGGTCACAGCAGGCGGCCCTGCCCCCACCTTGTCCTGCCCAGTCTCGAGTCCCAGGCTCAAGAAGGGTGGAGAGTGGGCCCGAGTTTCCCTGTAGCTGGACAACGCTGCCCTCTGTGATCTCTGCTGCTGTGGATTTCTGTGCTTCAGAGGTGGAGATGGGATCATTTAGATGATTTTTGACAATGGACGGACACTGGCTCTCAAATTAACAATGGGGCTGAGGGCACTCCCCTGTTTTCTGGTCCCAACCTTTTAAGTATTTACAATCCATCTCTGTTGACAGGTATTTTAGCTTAAACTGCATTCCTTCATGGGAACAACAAAGACCTGTCTGTGTATTTGAATTTCTTACAAATCTGTGTTTAACAAAAATTGAAAAGGTGCTTTTTTGTTTGCTCTACTTTCGAAAGTTCTAAGAAGCTGGGGTTGTTTAAAAGTAACTTGCCAACTTCTCGTACGTAGTAGGTACTTAATAAATATTTCCTGAAAGAATGAATGAACAAGGCCAGGCTCGGTGGCTCACACCTGTAATCCCACACTTTGGGAGGCTGAGGTGCTGGATCACCTGAGGTCAGGAGTTCGAGACCAGCCTGGCCAACATAGCGATACCTCATCTCTACTAAAAATACAAAAATTAGCTGGGCACGGTGGCATGCTCCTGTAGTCCCAGCTACTCGGGAGGCAGAGGCAGGGGGCAGGAGAATTGCTTGAACCTGGGAGGCGGCAGTTACAGTGAGCCAGGATTGCACCATTGTACTCCAGACTGGGTGACCAGAGCAAGACTCCATCTCAAAATAAAATAATAATTAAAAAAATGAATGAATGAACAGATAAACAAGCATGCTTTTCCTCTAGTATTAGTATTAAATACAGTGTATGTCTTTTACAGTCCATATATTCTGTGTAGGTTCTTTTAAAAAATATGTCATTACCCCAGTGGCGATGATAGCCCATTCGCCTCAGTAGTTGTGAGTAGGGCACACAGCCTTACTTCAGGTTAGTCACAGGATTGATTTTTATGTCTGCCTAACCCAAACCCAACCAAATCCTTCATGTGATAAGTTCTCAGGACTCAAAGACCATGTGACATTTATATGTTATTCTCCTAATGTGCAAAGAAGGAAAAAACTCTTTACTGGCTCCTTTACCCAATACTAATTGTGTTTCAGACAAATAAGATAATTAATTTCAGGGAGCTAGAGCATGGTGATTTATCATATACTAACTAGTTTATATATAAAAAATACACTTTTTTGGTTTATGATTTATCATATACAGACCATTATTTCATTTGACCCTCATCACAACCTTGCGGGTCTGTGATTAGCCCAGGCCCCTTGGACAGTAGGAGGGGCAAAGCTAGGACTCTGGGCAGCGTGTTTGACCCCAAGTCCAGCAGGCCTGGTTTTGTCCTCAGCTAAGAGATGACAATGGGCATGTCATCCTCCCGAGGACGCACAGATAGCGCCACGGCAAGCTTTCCCTGTGGCAGTGGCTGCACACTTTATCGTAGGTGTGGGCCTGAGCCTTCCTGGTCATACCGTTTTTTCCCTTTCCATGGGGTTCGTGGTGAGCAAGGAGGGCCCAGGCAGAGTGGAAGGAGAAAAGTTGGGAGGTGCCGAGGGAGGTTTTCTTTCTTCCAAATTGTGAGTGTGCGACCAGACTGCGGCAGAGAGCGAGCCGTGCTCTCTGAGTGTAGAAGCTGCATTGTGAGCACACGTGACGATCTGAAGGGGTTAATTCTCCCCCGGGGGCTGACTTGTTCCAGAGAAGGGCGACAGGCCTGGAGAGCAGTTTGATGCCTTTTCCTCTACGAGGGCTGTGGGATTTGACTCCTGTAGAGCCATTGTTGACAGTTTCTCTGTGTGATGGGGGAAACCTTTGCTGAAGCCTTTTGGAACTTTTGATGGCCGATCAAAGAGGAGTGATTTGTGAAATCGGTTATTTTTCCCATCTGCTGGATGTGAACAGTAAAATGTTTTTGCAAAACCAAAATGGGGAGTTCCTCTGGCTTCAAAACAAGGAGACCAGCCCTGCAAAGCAGAGTTGACTTTCCAGTGGATCCAAAAAGTGCCGTTCTGACCTCAGCCAAGCATTGCAGGCTGTGAACAGCAGAGTCAGCTTTGAGGATCCTCCAGAACCCTCTGGAAGGCCTATGAGGACACTTCTCAGGTTTTGATACACTTGACTATCCAACATTTAACTCCTTGCCTTGGGTCTCCGAGTTTAATTTCCTGCTGTGTCACAGCCACTAAAAGGAAAGGAACATAAGCAAAGGTTCTGAAGCTGCACTTGCATGGCGAGAGGCTGCAAGGAGCCCAGGTGGCTGGGTGTGCAGTATCCAGTGTGTACCCAGAGCTTGGTACTGACTCAGTACGCGCCTGGACTTCCAAGCACCCTCATGCTCATGCCTCATTTTTTTTGTCATATCATTCTTGTGGGACCTTAGGGCTGGGGAGACCGGGATGGGGAGAAGCGAATTGCCCTGTCTCAGGTACCTTAGGAAACCAGGGGAAAGCTGAGCTCTTATTTGGGGTGGCCTGACTTCCCCATCCTGGTCAGACCTTGTGGATTGCCGGGCACTTTGAAAGAAGGAGGTCCGCACGTTGGAGGTGGTGAGTGCAGCAGGGTGGAAGATGCTCTGAACCCTGTCTGCCTGCACCAGGCCTTGGTGAGGGGTCCTGCTGGCTCTCACTGGTGCCAGTGAGTAACCAGGTGGGATCCACAGAGCAATGAGGCGTTGCGCATTCCCGCTGGGTTTTGCGCCTCATTTCGTTTTCCCTTCTTCGCTCATAACTTGTATGTATGATTTCCACGTGCACTTTTTTTTCCAAACTAATTTTTTTTGTTTCTTTTGTTTCTGTGGCAAAGCAACAAACTGTAGGCCTTTCACAGGCCCCAGGCCCACCTCTGCTTTGTCTTGGCTCTTTCTCTGTGTAGCTCAACGGCACCGACGGGAAGATGGGTGTTTGATGTTTGTGTGCATTGGGGGCGAGGTGTGAGGGGAATCATGAAAAACACGAACATTTGGTATTTTCAAATAACCCTTCTCCCGGGCTGTTCTCTCCTGGCAGGATGACAGTGCCGATTTGAGGTGCCAGCTCCAGTTTGCCAAAGAGGAAGCCTTCCTGATGCGCAAAAAGATGGCCAAGCTAGGACGGGAGAAGGACGAGCTGGAGCAGGAGCTCCAGAAGTACAAGTCCCTCTATGGGGATGTGGACAGCCCCCTGCCCACGGGGGAAGCAGGCGGGCCCCCCAGCACCCGGGAGGCCGAGCTGAAGCTGCGGCTGAAGCTGGTGGAGGAGGAAGCCAACATCTTGGGCCGGAAGATCGTGGAGCTGGAGGTGGAGAACCGTGGCCTCAAGGCAGAGATGGAGGACATGCGGGGCCAGCAGGAGCGGGAGGGCCTGGGCCGGGACCACGCACCCAGCATTCCTACCTCACCCTTCGGCGACTCCCTGGAGTCCTCCACTGAGCTCCGCCGCCACCTGCAGTTCGTGGAAGAGGAAGCGGAGCTGCTCCGGAGGTCCATCTCCGAGATCGAAGACCACAACCGGCAGCTGACCCACGAGCTCAGCAAGTTTAAGTTTGAGCCTCCCCGGGAGCCGGGCTGGCTCGGGGAGGGTGCGAGTCCTGGTGCCGGGGGTGGGGCTCCCCTGCAGGAGGAGCTGAAGTCAGCCAGGCTGCAGATCAGCGAGCTCAGCGGCAAGGTGCTCAAACTGCAGCACGAGAACCATGCGCTGCTGTCCAACATCCAGCGCTGCGACCTGGCAGCGCACCTGGGGCTGCGTGCCCCCAGTCCCCGGGACAGCGATGCCGAGAGCGATGCAGGCAAGAAGGAGAGTGAAGGGGAGGAGAGCCGGCTGCCCCAGCCCAAGCGGGAAGGCCCTGTTGGCGGGGAGAGTGACTCGGAGGAGATGTTCGAGAAGACGTCGGGCTTCGGGAGCGGGAAGCCATCGGAGGCCAGCGAGCCGTGCGCCACGGAGCTCCTGAAGGCCCGGGAGGACTCCGAGTGCCTAGTGACCCTAAAACACGAGGCCCAGCGGCTAGAGCGGACGGTGGAGCACCTCATCGCGGACACCGACAGCTTCCTCCGTGACGCGGGGCTGCAGGGTGGTGCACCCTCGCCGGGGCCTGGCCTCCAGGGTGAAGAGGAGCGGGGCGAGGGGGACCAGCAGGAGCCTCACCTGCTGGGGACCATCAACGCCAAGATGAAGTCTTTCAAGAAAGAGCTTCAGGCCTTCCTGGAGCAGGTGAACCGCATTGGGGATGGCCTCTCCCCCTTGCCCCACCTCACAGAGTCCTCTAGCTTCCTCTCCACTGTGACTTCCGTGTCCCGGGACTCCCCCATCGGGAACCTGGGGAAGGAGCTGGGCCCAGACTTGCAGGTAAGGGGGCTCGTGGCTTTGCCTCCCTGCTCCGCCTTGCTCTTCCTCCTTCTCGCTGGCATTGCTGCACTCGGGCTCACGCTGCTCACGGCTGCTTGGTTATGATTTCAAACCTGCATTGTACTAAAGCCTCCGGGGCAACCAGATCCTCTCTCTTGGTTGGGCTCCGTTTTTTTTGTTTTTTGTTTTTTTTAAGTTTTCTTGTATTGCCTTGTTTCTTTTTCCTTTTTCCTGTCTTATTTTTAACTGCGCCACGGCTCATGGTTTAGAGGCCCTCCCAGACACGAGGCTAAGCCCAGTGGAAGCGACAGGGCTCGACGCAGGCCGGCCTTGCTCCTCTCTTGGTATCTCAACCAACCAGCCACACGCTGAAGAAGCCGTGAGGAGGCTAAGACAAACGCATGTCACAGTCAGGATAATTAGCAGACTCGCTACCAAGCACGTCCCTTCCTGGGTGTGTTTCAAGGGACACAGTGCAGTCCAAGGCCCTAGGCAGCCCAGGCCCCCATTCCCGCTGGAGGATCAGCCAAAGCGGGCGAGGAGCGCGGTGCTGAGAAGGATGGTTTTGGTGGAAAAGCGCTGCTGGCTCGTGCCGCCCTGCCGCCGCTGGGGAGGGCGCGGAGGGCCTCCGAGGACTGCTGTCCTAGCCTCGCCTGGGTGCATGGCCCAGCTGCCGCCCTGGACTGTGGCTTTGGCTGCTCGACCCACAAGTAAGGAAGGAAGAGCCTCGTTTTCCGTTTCCTTCACGGGTAGCGTGCTTGCGGTTGAGTTCTGGATTCACGCATCGCCATCGCATGTGCCCCGTAATCAGTGTTTCGCACCTCCACTTTCTCTTTTTGCTTTTCGGATGTGTCCACCCGCCCTTTTGCTCATTCTCATCTTGGGTCTGTTCTCTTCACTTTCGTCCACCGCTGTCTTTAAGCTGGTACCAGTTTCTATTTGTGCTGTTCTTTGGTCGTTTTCTCAGTCGTCTCCCTTATCCATTTTTGTTTTCTTTATCCCCTCTCCCTGCCTCCACCTTCTTGTCCTTTGTTTTTTTTGTTTGTTTGTTTGTTTAAAATTTTAAAAAAACAAAAATCCCTCCCGTGCACCTAACAGTCCAGACTGAGAGAGCAGCTAGAGTGGCAGCTGGGGCCGGCCCGAGGGGACGAGCGGGAGAGCCTGCGCCTCCGAACTGCACGGGAGCTGCACCGCCGCGCAGACGGGGACGCCGGGAGCCATGGGCTGGGAGGCCAGACCTGCTTCAGTCTGGAGGTCAGCGTGGGCAAGCAATCCCCGCCCCCCTTCCTTTTTCTGTGTGGCTGGCTGCGTGACGTTTTCTGTCCCGGACAAGGCCCGGAGGGAACATGGCAGGAGGAGCTGGAACTAGGTGGAACTCACTTGGCAGCAAACCCATTGTGTGCACTGGGACAGGCAGGTGTGTGCAGGTGCATGCGGTGAACTGCTGTGCTTGTCAGACAGAGGGACAGCTCACCGCAGGCGCTGTCCACCTCCTGTTTCCGCAGACCGGGAGCCCTTGGAGGCAGGCCGATTGTTGAGCGCGCAGTGGCTTCTTGTGCAGTTGCAGAGAACAGGGATGAAAACTCAGCCCGGGCTTCCCTGCTCTGGAGGAAACTCCCCTTAGGGCTCCCCTTTTTCGGTTGTTGCCTGTGTCTCGTGTGACCATCCCACGGCCTCGAGTGATACTGCCAGCCGGTTGGTAGAATCAGGGAGGCTCACTGCTGATCTGTGGGCACCCTTAGCAGGCTCTTTCACCACAGTAACCCAGTGTACACAAGGCTGCAGCCACCACAGGGACCATGGTTGGAACTGTTGTCAGAAGCCTGGGAGAGTGAAAGCTCTTAGACACAGGCCACCCCACCCGGGAGAGAAAGAGGGGGTTCCCAAGGAGCTGTTGAATGAGGAAACACCTTTAAAAGTCCAGATGCTGTGTCAGTGTAAAGTATGATTAGTAATAGAGAATGCAATGTCCTGCCATTGGGGACTTACAAGGGTGAAGTGTGTCATAGCTCCCCTAGTCAGGGGCCAGTTTTCCCTTCCCACTGTAGCTCTTCCTTCTTTGCCATGGGCTGTTTCTGGAACCACAGCTCCAGCTACACAGGGCGGCCCCCTTCCCTTTGATGGTTGGTTTTACAGGAACTGCATCTCCCTTTCCAAGTGTTCTGCTCTTCAAGGTGTGTCACACATAGCTGTGTGCAGTTAGAGCCTGTGTCAGACAGCTCTCCTCCCGGATTCTTCCTAGGTCCCTATTGTGTAACTTGGAGCAGTGATAAGTGGTCACCATCGTGAATGCATAGCATAGCTTCAGAAACTGGGAGTGATTTGGGAGAGAGAAGCATACTGAGTTGAAGCAAACCAAATACTGAGGGACAATAAAGCTTCACAAGAAGTAGACTAGCAGAGTGAGCTGGTGCCACGGGGCAGCACAGGATCTCCAAACGGTGCAGCTCGGAAGGGAACAGCAGGTCTACAGATGAAGGCTCTCATTCTGCAGATGAGAAAAAGGAAGCCCGAGAAGTGAAGCGGCTTGCCAGTAAACTCTCCTCCTGGTTGGTGGCAGAACTGGGTCTAGAACAGCCTTCAGCCAGCTGCAGCCCCCACTCCCCAGCACATCCCCGGAGGGGCCTGATCTGTAGCGGTGGGGGAGCCCTGCACTGACCCCTGGGTGCGTTTCTAAAGAGTCACTCTAACAACTAATTGTACGGCCGCAGTCTTGCCATGGAATGGCTCCACATCCATCTAGCTTCCTTTAATTTTGTATATTTTAACAAGAAAGCTAAAAATCTCCATAGTGAAAGGCCAGATCTAGGGAGCGTCATTTCCTAGAAGGGGAAGCAGTATGAATCAGGAGTTCTAAACAAACATCCCTCGTTCTGATGTTTTTTATTCACAAAGACATTTCACACAGGAGAGAAAACTCAATTATGGTGCAAACACATCCTATTTTATTTTATTTTATTTTATTTTATTTTTTAATAAGGCATGTTCTGGAGCCACTTGGAATCTCCACAGTGTTTCCTTTTATTAGAGGAGCTGGATGTGGATCTGTCGCAGAGCCTGGGTCGGGAGAGGCAGCCCCGTCCCTGGTGTGAATGTCACTCTGACAGCCTTGTTAGTTTGATCTTTGAATATGACATTGTGTTAAGGAATTGTACAATGGATAATTCTGGGGAGCAGAACTCTTAAAAGCCTTTTAATGAGAACATCCCTGAATTTGCTGCCAACAATTGCTTTCCCATGAGGCTCTAATGGAAACAGTACACAAAGCCCCCGTAAGTCAGCCCAGCCGCCCAGCCGGAGACTCGTGCACACCCGGCTGGAGTAACTGAGGGAAACACAACACCGACACCTTCACGCACACTGAGGCAGGGCTGCAGCTGCAGGTCCCGCCGGTAGCTCTCTTTGCTCCCTTCTACGTTTCCCTTGAAATAACCACCAATTTTGCCCTCAGGCCAGCCACGACTGTACCTGTGTGGATCCCCTTTAGCTCTCTGCCCGTAGTTCCTCGGGGGTGTGGGAGGGGCCCAGTAGCACACCTAGTATCAGGGCATCAAAGAAGAAACTTTCCATATTTGAGCAGAAGTTTTTAAAGAGGATTCGTGTCTCAAGCTGCACTTCAAAACGCCTCTGTGTCTTTTGCCTTAAGGATTTTTGTATTTGGGGAAAGGGGAAAGAAGGTAAGTTATTATTTTGAAAGATGGAGGCATTTTGGCCAGACCAAAACTGTGACTACTACTCATAGTTGTACCAGCCACAGCAGTTATAACATTAAAGAGGAGAAAGAGAAGTGCATTCTTACACATGACACATTTTAGCAGATTGCAAATCTGGGCAGTGGAGGAGCCCTGCTGCTCAAACGCCGTCATTCACTAAACCTGGGAAAGGGGCGGTTTCTCCAAGGCCAGCATTCTTACAGCCACAGCCAGAGCAAACTGAAGTCAGAACCCACGGACACCCACTAACACATCAATGCAACCACGCAAAAATGAACTGCTAAAAAAGTAACAGACTTCAGGACAAGTGTTCCTGCTGCCTGCTCTTCTCAGGAGATATTAGCGAGATGCTCACACTGTGCACTGGACTCTTCCCTGACTTGGCTCCCTGGGGTTCCCATCAAACGTGAGACATTCGCATTTGTTAAGAGAGAGTGGTGTGTGGAATGGTTTGGAATGTGTGAGGCACCTTAAAAATAGTCCTGAATGAGAAGTAGCCATGCACGGACGCTGGTCGGATTTCAGATATAAAGGAGACCAGGCCTGCGCCCAGAGGATTGAGTTTCTGGGTCAGAAATCTCAAAGAGCTCTTCTCCTGAGTGCCTGCTTTTATCCTTCAATCAAGGAAGCACACAAAGCACTCACGATCCCACGTGCCTCAGCTGTGAAATGCCAGCCACAAGGAAGTTACGTGGGGTTTTATGCCAAGTATTTGCACACATGTGTTGGCCTCATGTACTGCTTTTGAAATAAGTGGTTGCGAAACTGGCCAGGACAAAATGGAACCCTCCAGAAAATGAAGCCGTGGTCTTGGTGATGGAATTGTTCTAATACAGGAGTAGTATTGCTAGGCACTCTAGTGACGGCCATGAGAAGCCTTGCTTTTCTGTTGGTGTTTGAGATTGTGAAGATAATCTTCGTAGGTGTGGGAAGTAATTTATAAGCTGCTTTCTCTGGAGTTGGGGAAGTTAGCCTTTGTCAGTCAGTGTGGGATGCAGCTCTACTGGGGATGACATGGGCGGGAGTTTCAGAACACTGATGTGGGGAGAATGGTTACAGTTGTCAAGACTAGTGTCTCAGCAGCCTCGGAAACAAGTGAGGGTGGTGTTGGTTTAGATGAGCTGCTTTAATAGGGAGATCAAAATGAATTTGATGTATAATCAGAATCCTAGGTAAGTGAACAAAGAACGGTTTTTTTAAAGAATCAAACCTTTGGGGATTGGGTGGTAAAGGGAAATACTTATTTTTTTAGAAGATATTTATGTGTCATGTGAAACTTTTCTCCAGATGTATGTGGTCGTATGCAGTTGTGTGGCAGTAGAGTAATTCTAGGCTGAACCTGTTGCCATAGCATGTTTGTATGTTGTTTTTTGTAACATTGGAGTGACGCTGGCATCCCAGCTAGGAGCAGTTGTCCGTGGGAGTTTTAGTATTGCATTAGCAAAAATGGACAATAAAGGAAAATGAAACTTCTGATAGATCAGGAGGATCTAAGCGTGTCTGTTTGTGAGCAGGCAGCAGTCTACAGAGAACACTGGAGCCTTCGCAGGTGAATCCGACCTCCCCCGTGAACAGACTCATAGGACCTCCTTTTCTGTGACTCTTCAAAGGTGTGGTTCAAACAGTCATGCAATCTATAGAAACTAAACTAATAGATCTTTGCTTTTCTTAAACAATACGCTTGATTAGGATGTCTGTTTTTACACCTCAGAAAGCTTTTGGCTAGCACCTAATGCATTAAATAAGGAGGATTTTTACATTTTGAGTTTATAGAGTAATGTGTAGCTGGAAAGTAAAGCTGGCAGGAGAGCAGCCTAGGTGACCTGGAAACAGTCCTGCATGGAACACCTGAGACAGGAGGGAAGCCCCGAGGGCAGGTGTGGCCACCGTGTTAACGCTGTATCCCCCACGCTTTAGACAGTGCCTAGCACTAGAGGTGCTCAATAAATACTGAATAAAACACTGCATAAAATACGAAGTATCCTCTTAAATACATTGCTGAATTCCCAGGAAATTTAGGGGAATCTTCAAGAGTTGGAATTGATTTTAGAATTGGGACCCAGAAGGCCAGACACGGTGGCTCACGCCTGTAATCTCAGCACTTTGGGAGGCTGAGGCGGGCGGATCACTTGAGATCAGAAGTTCGAGACCAGCCTGACCAACATGGTGAAACCCTGCCTCTACCAAAAACACAAAAATTAGTCGGGTGTGGTGGCATGCACCTGTAATCCCAGCTGCTCGGGAGGCTGAGGCAGGAGAATCACTTGAGCCCGGGAGGTGGAGGTTGCAGTGAGCCCAGATCGTGCCACTGCACTCTAGCCTGGGTGACAGAGCGAGACCCTGTCTCAAAACAAAAACAAACAAACAAACAATTGAGAACCAGAGCGGTCTCTGTGGCCCTTGGGTGGGTGGATTAGGGAGATTGTTGCCAGAACTGGTAACTGGGAGCCTTGGGTTTCAGCAGCTCCAAAGGAACAGAGGATGGGGCCTGACATTGCAGGGAAAGAAAGGAAATGAATGAACCAGAGAAGCATTTGCCTGCTGGCCCTGGGGCAAGGAGCGAGGAGGCAGTGCGGATACTTGTTTCCCCAGCAAGAGCTCTGCATCAGGAGTGGGAGGGCTAGAGCTTGCCTCACCCAGGGTCAGGCTTCGAATTGATGTTACCAGTTTGGTCCGGGAATCCCCAGAGAAAGGGATTTGTGTAATATTGCGAGGTCCAGCAAACAGGAAACCAGTCTGGAGGCACATCCTCCACCCAGATCCATACCAGATCCATAGGTAAGTGCCCCTAGGAGATGAAGTCACATAAGCCAGTAACGTCCAGCAGGAACACGGCAAATGGGATTCAGCCCTAAGACTGCAGATAATAGAATTTTCAGATGGACGCTATCAGATAAGTGCGTTCACAGTTATTAAAGGCAACCAAACAGGACAACAGTATGCCACCATCATAAAAGACCACATATATTTTTTAAGTAATAGAACTTTTAGAAATGAAAAATTAGTCATTGAGGTCAATTCAACACGTAGGGAAATGCATCTTTTCAGAGAACCCCAAACAATGCTTCATATGTATAAAAGACTAGAATAGTCTCGAACAACTAGCAAATCAAAGAAGCATTTAATGCTCTCAGAAATTACTGAGTTTTCTGAAAATAGGATGTTTAAATCTCTAGTTTTCAAAATTTTATGCCAAACTTGGTGAATCCCCAGTGTCTGATTTTCTGTCTCCGTTCTTCTTTCCTTAATACCCCTTTCTCGTATCCCCAGTGCTAAGGAAAGTGCTCTGCTCTTTTATTTTTTGCATTTTCTGTTCTTAGGGTGTGATCTTCACTCTTGACTACCCAGGTACCATCAGATTAGGAGGAGCAAACAGTATCCTCAGGGAGAAGTAGTAGATGAGTTAAAGGGACTCAGAATGAACCAGTGAAACAGCACATATTTTATTGCAACAATCTACTCGAATTCCCAGTTTTATAAATCACCTGTTTTCAAGTAGCATAATCCAGTGGGTAAACTGTCATGCTTAAATTTTGATGATGCCTGAGATTTTTAGCATAACAGTGTTTCCATCTCTAAACACATTTTATTTCAAAAGTAGTGACACTGACTCCTCTATCATGGCATTAGAACATAAAAGGTATACTTTACCAATAAAAGTCATGATACGGATTCCACCACCTGTCTTTAAATGTAGTAAGTACATCTTTGTGCGATTCTCCTTAGGCAACATGTGCGATTGGGAGGCCTGAAGCCGTGCATCTCTGCTCATTGATGAACCCCCACCCTATTGCCCTGAGCATCGGGGTCAGATCACCTTGATAAAGACACCCTCGGCTGAGCAGGAAAAACTCTAATAAGAAAGCATATGAAAAACTTAATTATGCAACTCAGAAAGACCCCATGACTTGGGGAGGGAATCCAAGAGGCTGATGTGTAATAGGTGGTCATGCTTGCCTCGGTCATGGTCAGCTCTGACCATTCCCAGCATCCAGAAGCCACTGTAGGAGCAAGGTCACCTCTGGTGTACTTTGGCCTTCTTCTCTCAGTCTGGTTTGTGGTTATGGTGGTGGGTGAAGCTGCCCACCCTCCTCCTGGGTCAGAGATGCAGGGCAGGTGGAGCTGTCCCTCCCCAGGTAACTCAGGGAGCGGTGGGGTCTAGCGGGAAACCCCAGGGGGGCTGCCACAGTCACTCCACTGCTGCAGCGCCCACACATGCTGTGTCGCTCTGTGTGTGTCCCTGGCTTGTGCAGATGTCTGTCCTGCGTCATCCCCTCAGGCAGAGTTCTCATTTCCACTAAACCCCTTCCTTTATCCCACCGATCAGCTGAGGGGCCCCTGTGTTTTACCTGAGCAGAGTGTGTCCGTAGAGGAGCTACAGGGCCAGCTCGTGCAGGCGGCCAGACTGCACCAAGAGGAGACAGAGAACTTTACAAACAAGATCCATAAGGTAAATATGTAACACGGATTTTTCAGCACAGCCGCTCCGTGAACCGCACAGCCCCAAAGGAGAAATGCCACGATGCATTTTCAAAGAAGGCTGTCTGTTGCGTACAGGCTGCTAGACTCCCGGGCACCTATGGGAAGGTCACCCAGTAGAGCTGTCCCCTCTCAGATGTCCCTAAAGATAACTCTACCTTTCTGCTCTGGCACATGCTTTTCAGCATCTACACGGTGGTCTCAGCAAGGTCTTCCTCATACCTAATCTAAACTGTCCTGCGGCAGTACCAGCCTAACATCAAGTAAGAGCCTAAATGCAACTGGACAGAAAAGTGTGCCTGTCACCTCTGCTAATGTTGGGTGAATTTTCTGATAGAAAAATCAGCAACCTCACCCTAAGCCATTGCCTTCAGAAAACTGCCGCAACTTGAGCTGTGGCCTGATTAACCTCTGTTACTCTCGCTAATTACCTTTTATCTGCAAATCCTTCCCCAGAGTTCCCAGTAGAAGGGATTCACAGATGTAGGCACTCATTGCCCTGGACATCCATGAGAACGGCCCAATCCCTGCCACCCCAAACCTAATTAAGTTGTGGACAGAGATCTAGGTTCAGAATTGCTGCAGCTGCTCTTCCCCTCTGTATCTGTTCTTGAAAGATAGTTGTGTCTTTAAAACCAAACGAAGCAAAGCAGTTGATCTTGAATAGAGCACCTTGGTGTTTTAAAATAAATATCCTATGCAAATAAAGTCCTGGTATATCTAAGAACTTACTTTGGCAAGGAATGTGTGCTACACATAAGCCCCCATGTTGGCTGAGGCCATGTGATTTAAGTGGGTCACAAACTGATTAAAGGAGTGAGTGCCTTCTCTGTACCTTGCAGCTTAGGGAAGGCAGGGCCGAATGCCAAGATCTAAATACTTTCTGCCAACTTCTACCACTACATGCATGACTCAATTTTTAAGTGTTTCATTTAGGGGTCAAATTGCACATCTTATTATCAGAGGAAAATAATTCCATGTTACTTGAAAGATAGATTCCTAAGTAAACAAAAAAAGTTTTGCATGGCACCAAAAATTGTTTGAAAAGTGAGTTTATCACTGAAGATGCTGCTAGCACAATGTCCGGGGCCCACGTGTTTCTAGTATGTGGGTTGATGATGGAGGAGTATTGCGGAAGAGCCTTCGAATGGTAGGAGATGTCCTTCAGGCTTGTTCAGAAGGGAAGGGAAAGTGTCCCCCAAGGTGCCCAGAGGGCAGAGGACTGAGCTCTGAGACTTGGGGAGTTCACGGAGTCGTGGAACAGAAGGAGCTGGAAAGGGCAGTGGAGACGTGAGGGAGAGAAAAGAAGGCTCTCCAGGAGGGCCTGGGCGCAGTGCTGGAGGCGGGTCCGAGTGTCTCAGCGCCTCTCCACAGGCAGGCCCAGGGCCTCTCCACAGGCAGGCCCAGGGCCTCTCCACAGCCGGGCCCGGCGCCTCTCCACAGCCAGGCGGGGAAGGGGCTCACATTATCTTCACATGGCCCCTGAGGCCAGTGAAGCCTGCCTAGCAGGAGTCAGTTGGCTAAGACTTGTAAAAGAAAATAAAACTACAGGACTTTCTAAATGGATTATGTCAAGGGCAAAGTTAAGTCCTGGAGACTGAGTCATGAACATGTTTGCAGTTTTGTTTCTTAGATTATAGATGAACTCTCTTCCTCATGGTTCTTATTCTGTGAATGACCAAGAGACCAGAGACCAGACCGCCCTTCTTTTTAATTACTGATCTTTGTTATAGATTAACTGCCTCTTCTATTGTCATGTACCTAACTCAAACCAGATGGTGCGAAAGATCCCATGACTGTTACATCTTCAGTGTGAAATGTTAAATACACTTCCCCCACCCAAAAAAATACCACGTTGACTTACCAGTAGGAAATTGCAGATGCTGGGTGTCTGGTGCACTAGGCTGCCCTTGTGTCCACAGGGGAGAACGGTGGTGGAATGCTGAGGGTTGCTGAGATGGTGAATAAAATCACCTATTTTCTGTTATTTCGGCCAAAACTACAATAAAGGTCAGGTATTAGGAGAACAGCCACCAGGTCGTTGTCTAGACCTGTGGACCTTTGCAGAGCTGCCTCTGACTCTTCACTGGCCTTCAGTGCGTTGGCCTCCGGCAGCTGTGGTTCTATTCCCAAGGCCTCTGAGAATTAATCTAGTACTTTAAAGAGAAAAACAAATCCCTTCCTTGTTTTTTGGCATAAGAAGGAGCGTTAAGAGAGGACAGCTGATAACCTTCAGGCTGGCGTTCGAACCTTTTATTGGTCTATAGAACACAAAGCTTTGATCCCATAGTATCACTGTAGCTACTGTAAATACTATTTATAGATACTATTCTTGTGCCCTTCTGTGCAAAGCGGTATTTTATTCACTCTTCTGCTTTTCAGTGTTGATACACAATTATCGTTTGTTGCTTAGAAGAGTGTCTATACCAGGAGTGTTTAAAACACGGGAATTCAATGTGGAGATGCGAGATACGTTTTCAGTGACACTTTTCTTTTCCTAAGAGATATGCACATCTAATAGGAATGTCAAATCTTTAAGCATGGAAATAGGCTCTCAGACCCACTTTTCTGTTTCCTCGCTGTTGTATGCAGTCGAGGCCTGTGTACTTGGAAGAATTCCTTCCACCCAGCCTGCTGTGCTCTCCACCAGCTGGGGTTCTCTTCTGTCAGGGCTGTGGGGAGTCAGGGGGCTCAGGAAGTAGAGGGGAAGGATTTCCACTTCTTTTCTTCTTTACAATTCAATGTGCGTTTGAGTGCCCAGCCCATGTACAGAGGGGAGATGGAATCTGCTTACATGGGATTTAAGTCAGTGGTAAGCCGCACTTCTGAGATATATAAAACACCATGAGAGACTTGGCAATGAAAAATTGTCACAATACCTTATTTTGAAATAGCACTTGTTTCTGAATCACAAGATTCATGGGGTTTTGTCAACAGGAAACGTCTGAAGCCCTTAATCAAACTAAACTTCTGGGGGCTCCTGTGTTTCATATCTTATATGCAGCATGACAGAGACTGAGTGGCAGTTTGCAGGGACTCTTGGTTTGGTTTGGGTGGCGGATTGGATTAGCCGCTTGTCACACTGTCTCTTGTTCCGTTCAAGATGGAGGAGGAGCACCTCTATGCCTTGAGGTGGAAAGAACTGGAAATGCACAGCCTGGCTTTGCAAAACAGCCTCCATGAGCGAACCTGGAGTGATGAGAAGAATCTGATGCAGCAGGAGCTCCGGTCCTTGAAGCAGAACATTTTCCTCTTCTACGTCAAACTCAGGTGGCTGCTGAAACACTGGCGGCAAGGGAAGCAGATGGAGGAGGAAGGAGAGGAGTTCACTGAGGTAACTCCACTGTCGAGTTCCTTTTATTTGCATCTGTTTTGTTCTTGACCCCAGACACTGCTATCTCCCCACGCACCCTACACACAGTCATGTTCTATTATTTTATTTCTCAATATTTGATTAACATCTAATATTGCTACAACAAACATTTAGAGCAATTCATACAGACGCTTAGATAAGAGAAAATTGAACACAGGTGACTGAAACATCCATCATTTTCCTATACACAAGCAAATATAACAGAAGTAACATTACAGTAGCAAGAACAGGTATGCAGTGCTAGGCATAAACTTACTGAGAATAGTGCAGGAACGACATGAAGAAAACCACAGACTTCCCTATGAAACCTGCGTGATGTTTGTGAGTGAGGGACTGGCAGAGGCAGGTGCTGTTGGTTGCCTGCTCAGTATCTACTCTCTCTTTTTTTATTTGTACATATTCATGGGATACAATTGCAGTTTTGCCACATGGATATTTTGCGTTGTGGTGAAGTCATTATTATTTTAAATTGTTTTGTCAATTTTGATCCAAGAAATGGAAATGCAGCAGCTTGTCCAGTTATATATGAAACTAAGAATTCCGTGCTATGCTCTGACCTAGTTTTAAGAGTGCCCTGGTCCATAACTCCATGCTGTAGCAAAGTTTCGCTCCTGTCTCCTTTGCTGCTCATTTATAAATTCATTGATGTTATCACCCTGAGGTCCTGCACCATCTCATTCAACCTGGCTGGTTTGTAAAAGCTAGTTTCTAAAACTTTTGCTCTTCTTTCTATTTGAGTTTTGTTCCTAGATGTGAAAAGCCGTCCTGCCCACACAGTTTTAAAAGGATCTTTTCTAAGCTTCAGATGACTCACTTTGCCACCTCTGGAATTTGTATATGTTCTTCCTGTTATGCCTCAATTCCTAGGTTTATAATAGAAACAGAACAGAGATCTTTGCCTTCTGATTGCTTTTGTATTGATTAAGTCAGAGTGACTGATTGCACTGCGGGCTCCTTCCTGGCCTTGCTTCCTGGTGCACCCGGGGCGGGAGCCACTGGTGTTCTGTGTATTCTGTACATCCACGACCCTGGCTTCTTGGCCAGCTGCTTCGAGGCATTGTGAATAGATGGTTTCTTTTTAGCTCCCAAAGACCTTTTGTCTGGTTTTCATTCTAGGGAACAGTGTATGTAATTCTAAGTTCTCATCCTAGGAATGGGAAAATACAGTGCTTCTCTTTCCTCAGGGTGAAGAAAGTCTTCAAAAACGAACTCTGCCAGCTTCCAACTATCCGTGACATAGAAAACCAATATTAAGCAAAGCCTAGAAATCGTTTTAAAGTTTCCTGTTGATTAGTACTCTGGAGTTCCTCCTCCTTTAACTTACAAAACCATAGCTATTAGTAATACTAATTTAAAAAACAGTAGAATTAAAATTTCTCCTTAATGTCTTCTAATGTCTTCTCTTAATGTCTTCTAATAAGCTGAGCACCCACCCTGTGCTGTTTAAATGCAGAAGGTGCCCATGAGTGAAATGGCCAAAATGAGCATTTTAGGGGGAAGGACTGAGAAGTATAGGCGTTGATAATCCATAACATGGATCATTATCCTCAAACAATGAAAATCAGGCTCTACAGCAAAAGGATTTGGCTGAAACTGTGATCGTCACCTCCTGCCTGTTTCAGGGTGAGCATCCAGAGACCCTCTCTGGGCTCGGGGAGCTTGGAGTCCAGGGGAGTCACCAGGCGGATGGCCCAGACCACGACGACAGTGACCGAGGCTGTGGCTTTCCAGTCGGGGAGCACTCCCCACACTCCCGGGTGCAGATAGGAGACCACAGCTTACGGCTGCAGACCACGGACAGGGGACAGTCCCACAAGCAGGTGGGTGCCTCAACCGGAGCCCGTCACCCTGCCCACACCAGGGAGAGGAGACTTCTAAGCCATATTTGTGTCATTTTGTTTCCAGTGTTGGTGTCCAGGTAGCAGAAAATTCCACTCCCTGACTGCGGTCACCTGTTGTCATTTGTGATGCTGGGTTTTTCCTAGAAATCACCTCATCAAGCCTTTCATCTTAATGTCAGCCCACCCTTTCATTTGAGTTACCCGTATAAATAAGGACTGTAGTAAGGCCAGATCAATGGTGGTGTCCCTGCTGGGGCCAGTGAATTTACCTCAGAGAGTCTGTCATTGGCAGCATCATTTATTTGGCAGCATAACATATAAGGAGCAAAGGACAAGTTTAAAAAAAAAAAATCCCCCAACGTGGAAGAAGTATTTCAAGTTCTCTTTGGCCCACTTGAAACACAATGCTCCCAGATAAAAGTATTTGATGACACCTTGAAAAAAAGTAAAGTATGTAGAATGAGAGGTGAGACTTCAGTGTTATTAAGTAGCTGTTATTGTTGCCAAACACCATAGAAATAGACTCTACTTAATAAACCAAAAGATACTACTCATAACATCCAAACTGCCTGCATTTTTATACCAAAATGTCAGTGACGGAGGATTTGGAGTAAGGAGCTCCTGAGTAGGACCCTGTGTTAACGCTCTGTTGCTCCCAGGCTTCTGAGTCCCCTCTAACCCAACTTTATTATGTATTAATGATAATAAAGCTTCTCAGGAGGCTCCTGGGGTGCAGCTGGACGCCCCTGCCCTAGGAGGCCTGCGTTCTGGGCTGAGTGCGCAGGGCCAGGTGGCCACGGGGGGCGGCAGTCATATGGGCGCGGCTCTAGCCTCTCAGCTGTAGACACTCTGGGGCACTCCCTCTGCACTGGACGCCGCAACTGCTGCTCCTCCCTGGCCCGGGCTCCCGGGGCCCAGAGCCGCTGCTTCTAATGGGCGCGGGCTGTCGCCAGAGCGCTGGCTCAGATCCAGATGACAGGCGGCGACCTTCTGAGTGTAGGCTGAGGGGAATTTGGGTTCCCCCTGCTCGCTCTCTATACAATCAGATTTTCACACCTAAACAGCTGTTTCCTATGTACACCCGTCCCCCCTTCATTCTCCCTGAATAACATGACTTAAGGAGATGATACTTTCAAAGGAACTTTTATTCACAGCCATCAGAAAGTATGCCGTTATGCCATTGTTCGTGGGAGAATTTAGGTCATGGAATGAGTTTTCCAGCAATAATCTAGTTAGAAATGAAAATGCTACTTTGCAAATAATGCTTTAAAATCTATTAATTTCGGTGGCTCAAGCCTGTAATCCTAGCACTTTGGGAGGCCGAGATGGGCGGATCATGAGGTCAGGAGATCGAGACCATCCTGGCTGACACGGTGAAACCCCGTCTCTACTAAAAAATACGAAAAACTAGCCGGGCGAGGTGGCGGGCGCCTGTAGTCCCAGCTACTCGGGAGGCTGAGGCAGGAGAATGGCGTGAACCCGGGAGGCGGAGCTTGCAGTGAGCTGAGATCCGGCCACTGCACTCCAGCCTGGGCGACAGAGCGAGACTCCGTCTCAAAAAAAAAAAAAATAAAATAAAATCTATTAATTTTACTTTTTTGAAAGAAATGTTGTCATTCAATCTCATAAAGCATGTGTGCTTGCCTCCCATAATATTGCCACTGCTGGCCACTGTTCCCACCTCACCGCAAACCTGCTGCATCTAAGACAACGTGTTTCCCACGCACTCACGCAGATGCTCTGGACAAGGAGACACCTCGCACATCTGGTTTTCTAAACAACAGTCATGGAAAATGTTATTCTCAGGGTGGAAAATAATGTGAAGTCACTCAGCTGGAACCTTACATTCAGCATATCTTAATGTCATTTCCCTTTGCTTCCTGCTTCTTCCAACACTAGTTTTTAGCAAGAGATGGACCGCCTGCATTTTTATACCAAAATGTCAGTGACGGAGGATTTGGAGTAAGGAGCTCCTGAGTAGGACCCTGTGTTAACGCTCTGTTGCTCCCAGGCTTCTGAGTCCCCTCTAACCCAACTTTATTATGTATTAATGATAATAAAGCTTCTCAGGAGGCTCCTGGGGTGCAGCTGGACGCCCCTGCCCTAGGAGGCCTGCGTTCTGGGCTGAGTGCGCAGGGCCAGGTGGCCACGGGGGGCGGCAGTCATATGGGCGCGGCTCTAGCCTCTCAGCTGTAGACACTCTGGGGCACTCCCTCTGCACTGGACGCCGCAACTGCTGCTCCTCCCTGGCCCGGGCTCCCGGGGCCCAGAGCCGCTGCTTCTAATGGGCGCGGGCTGTCGCCAGAGCGCTGGCTCAGATCCAGATGACAGGCGGCGACCTTCTGAGTGTAGGCTGAGGGGAATTTGGGTTCCCCCTGCTCGCTCTCTATACAATCAGATTTTCACACCTAAACAGCTGTTTCCTATGTACACCCGTCCCCCCTTCATTCTCCCTGAATAACATGACTTAAGGAGATGATACTTTCAAAGGAACTTTTATTCACAGCCATCAGAAAGTATGCCGTTATGCCATTGTTCGTGGGAGAATTTAGGTCATGGAATGAGTTTTCCAGCAATAATCTAGTTAGAAATGAAAATGCTACTTTGCAAATAATGCTTTAAAATCTATTAATTTCGGTGGCTCAAGCCTGTAATCCTAGCACTTTGGGAGGCCGAGATGGGCGGATCATGAGGTCAGGAGATCGAGACCATCCTGGCTGACACGGTGAAACCCCGTCTCTACTAAAAAATACGAAAAACTAGCCGGGCGAGGTGGCGGGCGCCTGTAGTCCCAGCTACTCGGGAGGCTGAGGCAGGAGAATGGCGTGAACCCGGGAGGCGGAGCTTGCAGTGAGCTGAGATCCGGCCACTGCACTCCAGCCTGGGCGACAGAGCGAGACTCCGTCTCAAAAAAAAAAAAAATAAAATAAAATCTATTAATTTTACTTTTTTGAAAGAAATGTTGTCATTCAATCTCATAAAGCATGTGTGCTTGCCTCCCATAATATTGCCACTGCTGGCCACTGTTCCCACCTCACCGCAAACCTGCTGCATCTAAGACAACGTGTTTCCCACGCACTCACGCAGATGCTCTGGACAAGGAGACACCTCGCACATCTGGTTTTCTAAACAACAGTCATGGAAAATGTTATTCTCAGGGTGGAAAATAATGTGAAGTCACTCAGCTGGAACCTTACATTCAGCATATCTTAATGTCATTTCCCTTTGCTTCCTGCTTCTTCCAACACTAGTTTTTAGCAAGAGATGGACCCGTGAGCTTCCACTGCGGGCCGCGTGTTATAGAAGCACGTGGATAGGTGGCCGGGTGGGGTCCAGACACTGAGACCCAGGTCTGCCGAGTGGGCCAGTGTCCATAGTAGTGAGCAAGGAGCTCACTACTGCGTGCACAACACTCATCTGTCCAAGGACGGAAGATGGACGAGCTCTACTGTAACGACAGCTGGTTCTCTGGGAGGGAACATTCCCGGTTAGAGGATTTGCCTCTCTGTGACTGGCATGAGTATTAGCCAGGCAGCTGGGATGCAAGAGCCAGGGCACGTGTCTCGCAGAGCTGCACAGAGCCGGGCCGTTTCAGAAACGCGGAGCACCTCGCAAGGCGACTAGTAGCATGGGAAACCTAGCCAAGCCGTTTTCCCAAGGACAAGTTCTCAGTCACGGTGTTCCTCAGGCCTTGGTCTTTGCTTTGTGACATATGGAACATTCTCACAATTGAACTCAAGTAGATGGCAACATTTATCATGTCCACAGAGGTTTAAAAAACAACTGCATACACTGATCAACCTTGGGATGGCTCACAACAAATCATCAGGTTGGCAGACATTTGGCTCTGCAGACACTCCCTGTTTCCCAGTGTTCAGCTACATGAGTTCATGGTCATGACCTGGTAGCTCTAGAGCCACAGTGAATGCTTTTCAGAGGGAATCGTATAGTTCTCCTTGAGCTCCAAGACTCTTGCCACTGTGTTAAGCGTTTGAGGTCAGCATTCCTAAGGCTGTTTATGCATTTCATACTGATTCGTAATTCCTGGAATCCAGCTTCTTCACACAAGGTGATGAATGGTGTGGGAATGATGGCCCTGGGGCGCCAGCATCTCGTTTTCCCTACTTGGGTTAACTGATTTAAAAAGAAGTTACTTTCTCATTCAGGGATGTGACCTAATTCTCTTTATCATTTAATAAAACAACTAAGTAAAAAAAAGTGTGAAGAACCTAATATAAAATTCATAGCAAGAGCTGAAGGAATTGTATTTCGTATTTCAGTCTTCACCTGCTACGGGTCACTAAAGAGCCTCACCCAGTCCAGCCTCGGAACTGAGTAGACTCCACTTCCCTGGACCTCTGCTCCTTGTCGGGGCTCCTGTGCTGCATTAGGGCCTTCAGGGGCTGCCTGAAAAGTCAGCCTTTCTCCTGCAGACGGAAAGCCCTGGCTCCCTGGGCCTCCGGGGCTGCGGCTCTCCCAGGCCCCAGCAGTCTTCCTTTCTGGCCATGCAGGCTGCCCACCTTTGCTTGCCTAAGTTGCAGAAACTGCACGCTTGCCAGAGGAGGCCTCACATCAGAACTGTGATCTGCCTGACTTTTTTTTTTTTTTATAAGAAAGTTCTCTTGAGCCTAGATGGTGTTTACATTTCAGTTTTGTACGTCATACTGTGGTTCATTCTTCAGTGTATCCTCCAGCTGGGAGGCCTCCCCTATAAGGCATGCTTCTCTTTCTGTAAAAGGAACCAGACCAGAGCTTGGGATCGTGAAGTGTTTTATCTTTGCCGTGTACTTGTGGTGGCAGTTGTTCTGTCACTCCGAAAGTAGCCCCTGCGTGAGGTAAAAATTCACATGCACAGCTGGGTCCTTGGTGGAAGGACTCTCCCCGCCCCGTCCTGCCTCCCAGAGTCAACCATGGCCAGCAGGTTGCCACAGGCCTTCCGAAGTGCCTAACTCAACCTGGGACCTCACAAGTAAGTTTCT